TCTTTGATGCCTGATACCTGATCCCTTCGACACCTCGTGATCACACAGGCTGGTGTGTTTCTTTCCATGTGGGCTTTGTTGCTTCTGAGGTAGATGATGTACAGGTATTTTTGAGCTCTTAGAACAACATGCTTTACTAGGAAACTATATAGTTTTAGTTTATGTATATGTGGGTGAATATGCTGAGATGTGTTGAACTTGTGTATATTATTTTAAAACAAAAAAAACCTGCCATCAAGTAGATTCCAACTCATACTGACCCTATAGAATAGAATAGAACTGCTCCATGGGGTTTCAAAGACTGTAGATAATAAATTCATCTTTCTCCTGAGAAGTGACTAGTGGGTTTGAACTGCTGACCTTGCAGTTAGCAGTCCAATGCATAGCCCATAGCACCAGCAGGACTCCTGTGTATATGTCAGTAGCACCTAAGTGGTATTGGGGTTTGGAATCTCTGAGTATCTTCATGAAGAGTAGTTCTGTCTTCATCTGCTTAGTGAACCCTTACTTCTTCACTGTCAGGAAGCCAGTCACACCTTCCTCTGTGCCACCCCAGTACTTACAACACTTCACTAATTTCCTTACATATCTCTGCCCTTCTTCTAGTTCTCTCTGCCACATAAGGGATGGCATCGTTTTTGTATGTTAGTGTCTAAAATATAGTGGTGGTTTTCATTGCTGTTGAGTCAGTTTTGACTCTTGGGATGAGGTATAGTTCAGAGTAAAACTGCTGCACAGGGTTTTCTTGGGTGTAAGCTTATGGAAGTGGTGTCAAGCCTTTTGTTCTGAAGTGCAGCTGAGTGGAGAGGAGCTCTGGTGGCATAGTGGCTGTACTTTGGGCTGCACTTCTCCAGGTCTGAAGTTCAAAACCACCAGCTTCTCATGTTGGAGAAAGACAGGGGCTTTCTACTCCTATAAAGAGTGACAGTCTCAGAAACCCACAGGGGCAAGTCTACCCTTCCCTATAGGCCCACTATAAGTTGGCATCAACTTGATGGCAGTGAGTGAGGCTGCTGAGTGAAAGGGAGTCCTGATGGTGCTGGGGGCTAGGTACCGGGCTAGTAGTCACAAGCTCAACAGTTCAACCCCACCAGCCATGAGGCTGTCTGCCCCATGAAATGTATAGCCTTGGAAAGTCTACATAGGGTTGCTATGAGTCGGAATCGACTTAATGACAGTGGGTTTCATTTTGTAACTGCTGGGAGAGTTTGAACCATCAACTTTTAGGTTAGCAGTAAAGTGCAAACCTTCTGCTCCATCGTTGGACTCAGCACACTTCAAAATACAGCTGCCCTGGAATATGGAGGTCTGAGTTACTGACAACTGTACTTGCCCTTTAATGTTGTGTAAATGTGTCCTCCTTTTGAAGCAATTGAATCAACTCCTGTTCACAAAAGATCCTTCATCATAATTATCTTCATTTGCTGCATGTGCAATTTTTAAATAATTGAAAAGGCTGTGGAGCCTATACTTGCACTAAAACTTGAGAACCAAACCCGCTGCCATTGATTCGTGCTTGACCATAGCAGCCCTATGGAGGAGAGACTAGAATGGCTCCATAGGGTTTTCAAGGCTGTCAATCTTTACGAAAGCAAGTAGCTGCTTCTTTGTCCCACGGATTAGCTTGTGGGTTTGAACCCTTCATCTTATGGTTGACAGTTCAATACTTACAGACGGTGCCACCAAGGCTTCTTGTACTAAAAGTAAAGCCAAATAACAGGTGTTGATTTACCTAAGAATTCAACCTGAAGACACTCATAGTAATGGATCTCGTTCATAACCCAGAAACTACCTGCATTTGAATGAATGAATGACCAAATAATGTTTTGATCCTAAAATGCTGGAAAACTTACACTCCTGGAGGTTTAAAATGCTTTAACATTCTTTAGATTCAGACATAACTCTCACTCTCCTAGGGGCAGAAGGGCCACAGTGATATAATTTCTTTTGTTATTACAGGTGTTCCAGGATTTGGGGACTGAAGTGCTCTCTGGAGCCGTCAAAGGTTACAACATATGCCTCTTTGCCTACGGACAGACAGGCTCTGGGAAGACATACACCATGCTGGGGACCCCTGTGAGTGACTTACTATTGTACAAAGTCTCTTCCTAATGCCTGACCAGGGTTCTGCCCTTGCCACTGGGAGACAGATGAGTCCATCACTTTTAACAAGATCGATGGCCTTCTTCTGCAATAAGGACGGGTTTCTAATAACTCTAACTGAGAGTCTCCCATGTGTCCCAGTGAAACTCCCTAAAATGGAGAGAGCAGCACAGTTGGTTCATGTGCTGCCCTTCGTGCTGAGGATGCTTCCTGAGCTGGGTGGGGGACGCGTCACCCCGAGTAACACTGCTTTCCTTTCTTCTCTTCCCCAGGCCTCCGTGGGGCTGACACCGCGGATATGTGAGGTACAGACTCTCATTTCAGTGGGGCCTCTTAAAGTAGGTCTCTATTATACACTCTCTTCAATGAAACCCTGCCCTCTGGTTGCAGGGTCTCTTCATCAGGGAGGAAGACCACCCCTCACTGCCTTCCTCCTGCAGGATAAAAGTAAGGTAAGAACCTATCAAGCTCAGGGGTCTGACATGTTTCTGTTTCCACCCTAAATTCTGCATGGTCAGCTGTCTTCTTTTTGCTTCCAGAGTTAACCAGTGCAATGGAGAAAAGCCACAGCAGAAATAGCTTGTAGGACAGGGAGATGAGAAGCATACTTAGGTCCTTGGGTTATCGAAAGCCTTACTCCCTATCTTTAGGCTTAACAAGCAGGTAGATTTCCTTTTGTATACCAGCTTACTCTTGGTTTCCTTTGCCTTCAGTTTTTGTACTACTTTTTTCTTTTGGAGGATGGTGGGGTGTTGTTCTCCAGGACCTTAGTTACTAAATTTTAGTTCCCGGACTAGTACTGGCTATTGCTAATAGAGTTTTAAACAGTCTTTAGTAAAAATACTAGTTTAAGGTTTGGCTAGCTAGCAATTGCCCTTTATTTAAGATCATGGCTATCTTACTTCTTTGGCATTCACCCGTCTTTTTATTTTTTTAATCTAGATATAATTCATATGCCATAAAACTCAACCTTCAAAGGTATATAATTTAGTGGATTTAAAAAATATATTCATAAGGTTGTACATTCATTACCATGAATTCCAGAACATTTTCATCACTACAAGAGGTTTTCAAAATAGAAATGTGAAAACCATCTGGGAACCAATACAGTGAACCCTCGCCACTTCGCGCTTCGACTTCCGCGGCTTCACTCTATTGCGGTTTTTGCGTAACAGCGCATGCTCTGTCATTACTGCCACTGATTGGCTCATACTGTACACGCTTCTGTCTGCATCGCTATGTA